GGTATCTGTGATCAGATGCCTGGAAATTTAAATCCATGCTATGGTAAGTGCACACGCTAAGCTCTGTGCACTTTCTGAAACCCACATAGTGGTAAGTGCGCACGTTGAACACTTTGCGCACTTTCTAAAATCCACAGTAGTGGTAAATGTGCACACTGAGCACTTTGCACACTTTCTAAAATCCACACAAGTGGTAAGTGTGCACGCTAGACTTTGCGCACTTTCTGAAATCCTGTATGGTAAGGGTTAAACGTTATAGCTTCTTTCCCTTTCTCTGAGTTGGTTAGACCCTGGTACCTTGGGCTCCACTCAACCAGTGTGTCTCTATTTTTGACACACTTGGAAGTATTGCTCCCCTCACCATTGAGGGTTACTATGAGCATGCTGCTTCCTATCGAGTGCCCGGGTTCGCTCCGTGGGCTGTTATTAGCAGTGCTCCCCTTTACCAAAGGTTTGTCTATGAGCGCGCTATTCTTTCTGATTTCGGAGTTCTCCTCTCACGTGAGAGTTGAGTTCTCTGTTTTCCCAGGGCACCTGGAACCAGTAGCATCAGGTGAACTAGGCCCTTCCAAATCCGCCTCTCTGATGCGCTGAGTTTTTAGCTAGCTTGCAGTACACTTACCTCTGATTCTAACGATCATGCTGGGCGAGCCCCCTCTCTCGTTGAGAGCTGGGTCTGTGTTCCCTCAGCTAGGTAACTTTACTGCTGGCAGTTCCAGTATTGGAACATGCTGTAGGTCCGAGCCTCCCTCTCGTTTTAGAGCTGGGTGAGTTGCTCCCTCAGCTAAGTAAATTATTGCTAGCTGTTCCAGCATTGGAACATGTGGTAGGTCGAGCGCCCCTCTCGTGTGAGAGCTGGGTATGAGCTGGTTTAAGCCCCGTTCATCTTGGGCACCACTCCACTTAGGTATCCTAGGATACCTACTTTAACAGGGTATGGCCACTAGAGGTCTGTTGAGACAGTTTCTCTATGCAAGAGCAAGTGGTAGCCCCTGTGTGACAGGCCAAGACTTAGTGTGATACTAGGTTCTTGGTCGTATCCCCTTAAAGGAATCCATTATGATTCCAAGCCTTGAGCTCTACCCCACGCCCAGGAGTCTGACCCTAACAGGTAAGTTGGGTATGTAGCCTAGGCCTTTGGCCATAGGGGATAAAGTCACGGACAGCCGTCTGACGACCCAGGAGCAACTCACCATGAAAATGGTAAAGTTGGTATTTAGTGCTAGCCATGGTTCTGGCCCGCACTCCCCTCAGCATGGTGGTGTGGGTATATCGCTCCCCACAGTGACCCCTAGAGGACGCAGTTCGAAGTTCCCTTGAAAGGAAACGTCTCAGGTTACTTATGTAACGATGGCTCCCTGAGTAGGGAACGAGACACTGTGTCCTCTAGGCTTCCTGCCATGCTTCGAACGCAAGCTTCAGATGAAGAAGTGAATGGCATGTTCTCCCGGCACCTATTTATACTATAATCGCACTGGTAGTGATGTCATGGGCTGTCGCCGGCCAACGTGTTGTTGGTGTTTTTTCAATGTATGCTTCAGACACGGGTCACGACGAGGCATTCCCCATAGCGACCCCTAGCGGACGCAGTGTCTCGTTCCCTACTCAGGGAACCATGGTTACATAAGTAACCTGAGACATTTTTGCATTCAGATTTGCCATCATACTCAGATTTTCCTACAATCACAGGATCTGAGTATGAACCCAATCATCACCAGTTGTCTCATTTGTGTCTATTTTATGTTTTAGGAGAAACATATGAAACAAAATTAAACTAAACTGAATTGAGAACTCTATTAGGTCTCATGAGCAACCTTTGAATAAAATACAACACATAAAATAAAATTCAGATTTTCACGACAGATCAGTCAGTAAGTGTTATTTTAGTATCTCTGATATATCAGTTTTAATTAAGATTCTGCTTTTTGTTTATATATTCTATTTTAATTTTAGATAACGATTTAGTTATTTTATTGTGTTTTTTAAATATTTTTATTTAAAAAAATTTATATATATATCTTTTTTTTCTTTTCTTTTTTTTAGTTTTTTAGTTTTAGTAATTTTAGTACATTGTTAAATTAAATGAAAATGATCAGGGAAGCTAGCTGAAATATATATTTATAGTTATGTTTTATTTCAGTATATTTAGATTTTTTTTTATGGTTTTAGTTTTAGTTAACTATAACTAAATGGTCAGAAATGAGTCCAAATCAAATCAAGTACTTTTTGTTCTGGATGGACCAACTGACATTCA